AATTGTATCTGATCGTCAAACGAGTATTGAGAGGTATTGCTCTGGAACAGCATTAACTAAAATAAAATGGCTACTAGTCAGCCATTCTGAATCTGATCTAAAAAATAAAATAACATGCATCAGGAATCCGTAATGTCTAATGTATGTAACAAGTTTGAACAAAATCCATCTGTAAACAGCTGAGAAATGCTTGATTTTGATGATTTTTTTAGTACAAAAATGGCCACCATTCAGCCATTTTTAATAGGATCGTCAAACCAATATATCTGTATATCTATATATAATGAATATTTAAAATTTGAACATAATCAGTCACAGCAAGTCAGAGATATGACACTAGAACCACAATCATTAAAACAAAATGGCAGCCAGTCGGCCATTTTGAATCTTATCTGAAAACAAAATGATGTGCATCAAGGTCCTATAATGTCCAACATATATACCAAGTTTGAACAAAATCCATCAGTAAACAGCCGAGAAATGCGCCGAGAAATGCTTGATTTTGATGATTTTTAGAACAAAAATGGCCGCCATTCGGCCATCTTGAATCAGATCGTGAAACAAATTGATGTACATATGTATAATATCATGTTTGAAGTTTGATTGTGATTGGTCCAGGCATTTCTAAGATACAGGTCCGGACGCATGCATGGAGGTCAAAACACAAGTCCCCGTTTTTGGACTGCCTCCGAACGGGGACTAATTAACAAATGGGGAAAAAAAGTTTGTGCTACTGTCAGACGCCCGAGTGGAGACAGCACAGCTTGTGCTGCCTTTTATACCCACATCCAAGGTGCTCATTTGCATAGTAGCACAACCAGGTGCTACTGGCAAAACATAAACAAAGGAAAGACATTTTCGTTCTATTTCGCTTCGCTCAATCGAAATAAAATTGCAATTATATACAGATCCACCAAAACAAGGTCTGACATATGATGCAGATTTCCTGGATCTGACCCAAGATTGCCAACATATTGCATCGCTAAAGCTATTGACAGCTGTATTGATTCCCTACAACACAGCTTTAAATATGAATAATTCAACATTGTAAAAAAAAAAGGTCTCACATGTACTTACGTTTCTTTCCATTGATGTGGTCTAGGAAATTAATAGAATCCTTAACCACACAGTCACATACATTGCAGTAGTATCCACCTTGCTGTGAGGCTGGCGTAGTCTTTGTTATTACTTGTGATTTGCCAAGCTTAGATTCCAAGTCTACTTTATATTCACGCTGCTTTAGAAACTCTCGGCGGACAGGAGGTTCTTTTTTGCCACTCTCTATTGCAAACAGACCAAATAAATATTACGATGAATCCAGTAAAATATTACACAGTCTTTGCCAAGTTTTTATTCAACCATGACTCAAAGCTGATATGAAATGTCACCCTCTTTGCTAAGTTTTTATTCAACCATGACTCAAAGCTGATATGAAATATGTCACAGTCTTTGCCAAGTTTTTATTCAACCACGACTCAAAGCTGATATGAAATGTCACCTTCTTTGCTAAGTTTTTATTCAACCACGACTCAAAGCTGATATGAAATATGTCACAGTCTTTGCCAAGTTTTTATTCAACCACGACTCAAAGCTCATATGAAATGTCACCCTCTTTGCTAAGTTTTTATTCAACCACAACTCAAAGCTGATATGAAATATGTCACAGTCTTTGCCAAGTTTTTATTCAACCACGACTCAAAGCTCATATGAAATGTCACCCTCTTTGCTAAGTTTTTATTCAACCACAACTCAAAGCTGATATGAAATATGTCACAGTCTTTGCCAAGTTTTTATTCAACCACGACTCAAAGCTGATATGAAATGTCACCCTCTTTGCTAAGTTTTTATTCAACCACGACTCAAAGCTGATATGAAATATGTCACAGTCTTTGCCAAGTTGATGTAAATATATCCATGTCAGGTATATTCTCATTATTAGTGACATTCAAGTTTTTAACAATTGGTTATCGCTTCACTGCAAAATAATTACATAATGGGCACACAAATTTGTCCATTCTTTATAAAAATAATTCTGGAATACTAGTATTACGTTCCATTCATATTTTCTTTTACACTCACTGCTTTAATAAACTACAACTAAAATATTGTACAAGTACTAACATAGAAATGATAGTCATAGAAACCATTGAAAGGGATTATGTAATCCCAAGGCAAGTATTTAAAAACAGAAATATCAACAAACCATTATCTTCCAGTTCCCTCTCTTCAGCTTCCAGACGTTCTTTTGCAATTCGTTCATACTCATCTCTGTCCCACTTCTTACGATGGTCATCTGGTTTCTATGGCATAAACACAGGATGTAGTGAATTTAGTTATTTCAAGTTTTAGACAATACTTGATTATTAGAGGTGCGACTTTTACACCACGTCTCATTAGAATAAGGAACGCTCGGTAAATAAAAGGATAAGGATATTTTATGTAAACGTTTCACATAAGGTACAAGAAAGACTATGGTGAAATGCCAGGTTGTAGATATGCACAATTGAAAATACCTGTAGTAAGAGTTTTGGATGTTTTGATGATTTTGATGCAGTAGAGAAGTGAAACAATAAATACAACAAACCCCAAAATGAATCTGATGCTATGTTTAGGATGCCATAGTAGTTCTTGGATTATGCCACATTTGTGACAAATATTTAATTTATTGGCAATAATGAACATGGTCAATTTCAGTTTACCTCTGAAATGTACGAAAATTGCTGAAAATGCTTATTTTTTGGTATATTTTAAATATATGATGCTGATCCAATCAATGCCAAACTGTTACCAATCCAATTCTGATGCCAACTTCATGCTGCTCAGCTGACCTTTAAGGACAAACAAAGTCTCCTAACTCAGTGAGGGTCCTTTTTTTAACAAATCTAGATTAATAGGTGAGCAAAAATTTATATTCTGCTGTTAACAACCATCCATGATATCAATATTTGATGGTGTATATATTGGTCAGGGGGATTGTACATATAATTCACAGATTTGCAAAGTGGGAATGTAACTTTAACCATGGAGGTAGAAAAGAGAAGGAGTGAGGACTATTGTTTCCGCTGGTTTCATGATGCTTTGGATTTGTTTACTCAGTACACATTGTAATTAGTTTGCAAACACGCCGTACAATGTCACAGTTAATCGGCTTACGTGTTTCGGCTGTATTCGGAAGCTTCACGAAGATTCTCAACGCACTGCGCATGCCCAAACAAATAACAATAGTACAAAATGCAACGAAAAACGTACGCTGAGTGTACTCAACGCCCGAAATCTATTACAACAAAAGGCGCGATTTTCGACATCTGCACAGTTCTGCACACCAATGAAAAATGACGAGTCAAAACATCTTGTTATAATCTTATCATGTATCTTTAAATTTCACTG